TAGATGAAGAAGATAATATTATACCATCACCTTCTCTGGGAAATATTAATGAAAATTTGACAGATAATGTAACTATACATATTTATAAAGAAAGTACCACAGGAGGACATTGGTGTGCTCGAATTATATTCTTTGTCATTTTAATAATGCTTGTGGGTCTAATTGGTATAGTTATCTTTGAGCATAGGGGTACTACAGATAGTAAGTGAATTATATATATATTTTTAATATAAATATATTATTTTCTTTTTATATAATATTATTATATATTTCATGTTATAAGTCAGTACTCCATTAGAATCTTCTCGTTGGGCTTTTATATTTGAAGGATGGGTTGATGACTCTGCATTATTATCTAATGAAGAATCACATGATAATGAACAAGAAACTAGAGAAATAAAAAAGGAAACAAAAGATGCTGAAGATAAAAAAACTATAGAAATTAAAATTTCTAATGAAGAAGAAATTCAAGAAGATAAAATATCAAATGAACAGACAGAGGAAGAAAAAGAAACAATAGATGAAAATGAATCAAATGAAGAGCAAAATATTTTTCAAAGTAAAGAAGGTATCAAAATATAATTAATTCAAACTTAAAATATTTTTACAATTTTTGAATATAATATAAATTTTAATTTATTATAGAAGAATTAAACTATGAAAATGAATTTGAAGACAGAGAACAACAAGAAGATATATTGGGAGAAGATATTACACCAGAAGAATTTGATGATATTAATGTGCTAGAAGAAATATATAGTATTAGTACAGAAAAATTTTCAGATGAAAAAAATATTTTATATGAAACAGATAGTCAATTTGATAAAATAATAAAAATGACAAGAAATGAAGATGAAAAATTTGAAAATTTTTTGGATATTCCTGGTATTAATGAAATTAATGATGACAATTTAGAACCTTTAGAAGAGGTAAAATTAAGATAAAATTAATAAGATATTACTTCTTTGTATGCAAAGTATTTCATTTAAAATTATAATATATCTTAATTAATAATTTTTGTTATTAATTATTTTATTATATCAATTAATATTTTTTTATAAAATATATCAAATACTACTACATCAAATAAATTATATACAATAAACATATATTAAAAAATATGATTAAATTTGAAAAAATAATTCATAAAATCTTCAGAAATTTTTTTATTCGTAAAAAAACTAAAAGCATCAAAATATATATTTTTTGGAACCAACTTCCATCCAAACATTTCTTGCTTTAAATAATAATAATAACAAAAATTAATGAATGTAATATTCAGATGGGACATTTTGCATGCATATATATATAATATCTTTTATTATTTATTAATTTATATCTTATCTTTAATAATTTATATTATATT